GGGGGGAGAAAATTAAAGCTTCCTGCAGCACTCAGAAACATGTTGTTGAGGGAAAAGAAGACATTGCAGAATACCATCTAATAGTCTAACATCTAACAGAGAACCTATAGACAAATTCCAGAGGTCTGAATGTTTCCATGAATCCTCTGCCCCCAACCCCATGCATTTATTGTGACTTGGAATAACCATTTACAGAATAGCAGCTATCCTATTTTTGCACTTTGAAAGCTTTCTTCTTGCTAACTTTTTTCCTTTTCCTTACTTCCCTTTTTGTTTACCCTCATGTAATTGGGAGATCTTAATAAATTAAGGACATATCAAAGGTTTTTTTCACATTGAATATTATAATTTTTTCTCCTAAAAGACACATTGAAATAATCCTTGTTACCGTGTTTGACACATATGTACTTTTTTCTTACCTAATCTACAAATATCTAAGCTATTTGTAACTAAATTTAAGCATACTAGTATTTTGGCAGACAGACTGCTGAGTTTTACTAAACCTCATATAATTGCAAATAATGATAATTTACAAGATTAGGTAATCTTTTTTTTTTAAATCAAGCAATTGCTACAAAGCCTATAACTATCAATATGGAGGGCAAGTTGATAGCAGTAACCACTTATTTCTTGACTATCTAATTGCTTTTAGATCTGGGTTGGCATCACAGGCTAATTGTTAGCATATATTTCCTCAGAAATCCTTAAAGTAGATTTAGGTCTTATGAAGCCAACATATCTTAAGAATTTGAGGGGTCATTCCTAATAAGCTTATTCTTTTCTCTGTTTGCTACATTAAAGGCTTAGTTGTTTATAAAATAAGGGGCCAGGTGATAAAAACATTCCAGTTTAGCATGAGGGATTTACTTGGGTGCCTGTCTGGATTGGCCAGTCATCTGAGCACTCATTGCTGTTATTCTCAGCATCTTTTCCTCCTTGCCTACTTGTTCCTCTCCAAACACCTAAGAGTGATAAGCTCTTCTCTCAGTATTAGGTTGTTAGGGCCTGAGCCTTGTGCACACATCAGTAATTTGAAGAGGCAAAGGAGGAGTATACACTCCATGCCCAGATGATTTTATAAGGCTAGGCTTGCCGTTGTTGGTACTGCTTTGCATATTAAAGCTCCTTCACTTCTGAGGACCATTTTGATCCTAACTCAGCGGGTTACAGCTACAACCATAGCAAAATGATAGTCTGGGTTTAGTAAATCAACATGAGTCCTTACTGCAGCAAAAATTTTAAGGCTGTGCTACTCATCTGTCATTTTTTTGTTCTCAGACTAATTCTATCAGCTTTCAGAAGATCTTTTTATCTTTTCTTTATTTTTCCCTTTGCTTCTCTCATTATAGAATTTAGTGACCAAGAGACTGGAAGTGGGAGGTGGAGAACTGAGCAAGAACATGTGCCCCATGCTATTCATATTTTTGACAAGTGGCTATGGGGCAGAAGATATTTTGTATGATGATTCTATTAATGATAAATGATTGGATTTTTCTGTGCATTGAGTTAAGAAAGAAGGGTAATTGGCTATCTTGGCTCTAACGTAAGCTATGGAGTAGGTTATCTGACAGCACTTCCAGTTTGTTACAGTGCCTTTGTTTTTCTTTGACATTAAATGGATAGAGGCTAGATAGCTTAACATCGGAGTGTCAGGTTAGTACCCGTACATATACTGTAGAAACAAAAAAATGGAATTTCTGAACATTATAATGAGGCTAATGTTTATAGTTAAGTGTTTTTAAATTATTAAGTTATACATTTTCATTTAGAAAAAATTAATAGCAAAAATTAAATCAGTGATTATGCTTCCTGTTATTTTTCTGTGCATGTTTGTGCATAGTATAATGATAACAGGAATTGAATCTACTGTGTGCTTACAACAGTGCCATGAACTAGGTTCATAGGTACTTTTTTGTTGTTGTTGTTAAATATTTTTATTGACTTTTAGAGAGAGTGAAGTAGAGAGGGAGAAAGAGAAACATCAATATTGGGAGCGGAACAATGATAGGCTGCCTCCTGCATGCCCCCTACTGGGGATCTAACCCAAAACCCGGGCATGTACCCTGACCGGGAATCGAACTAGTAATTTTTTCGGCATATGGGACGGCACCCAACCAAATGAACCACCCTAGCGAGGGCTCAGAGGTACATTTATTCACCGTTTTGTTAGGAAGACACTGAGGCCTAGAGAGAATAAGCGGTTTGCCTGCCGTCAGTCACACAACTAAAAAATGATGGCACACTGGGATTTAACACAGCTAATTCCACACCCTGTTTGTTTTTGTTTTTTTATTTCATTTTGCTTAACAGTTTGGCCTTTGCCTACTATTGCTTTTTTAAAAAATAAATTTCAGCCCTAGCTGGTTTGGCTCAGTGGATAGAGCATTGGCCTGCGGACTCAGGGGTCCCGGGTTCGATTCCGGTCAAGGGCATGTACCTTGGTTGCAGGCACATGCCCAGTGGGGAGTGTGCAGGAGGTGGCTGATCAATGTTTCTGTCTCATCGATGTTTCTGACTCTGTCCCTCTCCCTTCCTTTCTGTAGAGAATCAATAAAATATATTTAAAAAAATAAAAAATAATTTTCACTGTTTTTGATGTACAATTCTTTAAGTTTGGTATCACTTTTTTTTTAAAGAAAGCTTTAATACTAGCTTGTAATCTACTTGTTTGACTTAAGTCATCATCCTTCCTTTTCAAATATATTTCTCTAACACAATTTTAGTGGCTATTAAAAAGCTAACATTTGGTTGGGGTGGGGGGTAAGTGATCAACCAAAGGATTTGTGTGCATGCATATAAGCATAACCAATGGACACAGACAGTAGCGGCATGTTCTGGGGTGCAGGAGCAACCGGGGAGAGGTCAACAGGGGGAAAAAGACATATGTAATACTTTCAACAATAAAGAATTTAAATTTTAAAAAAGAAAGCTAACACTTATTGTGTATTATTATAAGTGTTTGACATGATTTAACTAATTTTATCCTCACAACGCTATGAGGTAATTACTGTTATCCCTATTTTCATAGATGTAGGCACTGAGGCACCAAGAGGTTAATTTGCCACAGGTCACACAGCTAGTAAGTAGCAGAGGTAGTATTCAGACACAGGCAGGCTGATTTACTTTAAGAGAATGCTCTTTAAGTATTATGTGACAGTGTATATAGCCTGCCATGGTACGGATGTACTATAATTTATTTAACCAGTCCCTTAACTTTAGATGTTGCAGTTGCTTCCAGTTCTTCCTAATATTAAATGGTGTTTTGATACTTAACTCTTATTTGCATCTCTAATTATTTTCTTATAATAAATTCTTACCAGTGGATATGCACATTTTTAGGGCTATATTGCCCTTTAGAAAAGTTGTTTAGTTTTGCTCTCTCTCCACTATGGAATGAGAGTGACCATGTTTGATATACTCTTGATAACAGCATGGGTTTCCTTCTTTTGATTCTTGTTAAACTAGTAGACAAAATAGTAGTGTGATGATCATTTTTCATATATTTCTTGGTGAACTGCTTATATTTCTATTTTGTCTTTTTTCCTTTAGATATAAGTTTAAATTTTAGTACTTGAAGTAATCTTACTAGTTGTAATAACAACCTTTCATTCTGGGGAAGGTCATGCGAGCTATGTGCTGCAAAGGTACATGGAAGCTTTTGCTCTCTACTTAGAATGTGGTCTCTTCCATCTGAACATTAGTAGTCTCTCTAAAGTGAACAGGTCAATTCCACAAGCCACCTGGGAAAATTAGTCTTGTTACTTCAGAGTGAATCAGTTCCAAATAAAAGTTCTTTGTGACCTCAACAGATGGAAATCTGGTTAAAAATTGTAGTTGCATGCCCTGTCTTAAATGCTAGTGAATTTTGTGGAAGCTTCCTCCCAGTGACTAATGAGAAATGTCAGGGAAATGTAGCATTCTCATTCTGGCATTTAAGTATTAAAGCTTAATATCTCAACAACATGCTTTTGAGCATTTGGCATAGATAATAGCACTATTGAAATGAAATAATATGGCTAAATACCAGCCATTTTTATTTTCTATCTCTGCAAATGGAAGAATTCAGATTGTCAATGGCCCATGTACTATGTATCATAGAAATCCCTTTTTCTTTCCCACCATTTGGACCCTCATCAGGTTATTAATGACATTCTTGGGCGACATGGAACATAACTAAGAAACGTCCTTTTTAAGCAAAGGTTCAAATTATGGCATGTTGTTCTTTGAGGTAATATGATAAAAATATGTGTACAAAGGCAACCTTGGAAGAGAAAATAAACGGAGACTATGTTTGTTTCTAGGTAGCAGTACTGCCTGCATCGTGGTGCTGGACAGAACTAGCCACCGATTACACACAGCAAACCTGGGTGATTCAGGCTTTCTGGTTGTCAGGGGTGGCGAAGTTGTGCACCGATCGGATGAGCAGCAGCATTACTTCAACACTCCATTCCAGCTCTCAATTGCACCACCGGAAGCTGAAGGAGTCGTCTTGAGTGACAGGTAATCTCCCCTTTCACTCATTAAAGTGTGAACAGGGCGTGGCTTACTCACAGGTTCCCTCCCCTCCCCCTCAACCACAGTGGCGATAGGCAATTTCCATTCCCAAATGAGAAAAAAAAGACATCGAGAATATTCTCATCAGGAGAACCTTTTAGTTTGACTTCGAAAGATACTTTGCATATATTTGATATTGCAGCCAAGTTGAATTCTAATAAACACCCAATAATTTGACAAGACTGAAAATGCTATTTCAAGCTTATAAAATATCAGTTTTTCATACCAAGATCACATGGTATGTATAGTTGTGTTAAATTTTGCTGGAGAAATGAGTTATTGTTCATGCATGCCATTGTCTCTGCAAGATTTTGCATACGTTACTAGGGAAGAGTACAAACAGACACCTGCTTTATTTATCAGAATAACTTCCTGATTCTCAGGGCCTCCTACTACATGTATCAAATAGAGCTTGCAGTCCAGGCAGAACCTGTCAGGACCAAGTTAGCTTATAGGAAATGGAATCAAAAGTGGTCTTGGATATGTTCTGTGATGATGCTGTTGAGGTGTTCTCTTTTTCTTCTGACACCTTCCCTCACTTCTTTTTTTAAAATCCTCACCCAAGGATATTTTTCCCATTGATTTTAGAGAGTAGAAGGGAAGGAGGGAAGGGGGAAGAGAGAAACATCAGTGTATGAGAAAGACACATCAATTGGTTTCCTCCCGCACCCCATGCGCCCTAACCAGGGCAGGGATCGAACTTGCAAACTAGGTACGTGCCCTTAATGGGGAATTGAACCTGGGACCCTTCCATGTGTAGGCCATTACTGTTCTAATCACTGAGCGACACTGGCAGGACCCTCAGTTCATTTTTAAATTGGGAAGAGAACTTTTTGAGACAATCAGTACTTTTTTAAATCAACTTTTACAGTTTATCTTTTCTAAGATCAGCGTACAGACAGGCTAAGACAATCTCAGATTTCACTGTCTATAACAATGTTGTAAGACCTAGGACAAACATTGTTGGTGATTCATAAATGTTGTTAACTGGGTGATAAAGCTTTTGTAAAAATTGAAGCATTCTAGCAGTATCTGTTGTCTCTATTTAATAGCTCTTATAAAACCAGATGTTAAGCCCTAACTAAGATAAAATGATTATTCTACCATCTCTTATTTCTTGTTAATCCTCACGTGACGATATTTTTCAATTGATTTTTAGAGAGAGTAGAAGGAAGGGGGAGAGCCAGAGAGAGAGAAATATCAGTGTGAGAGAGGCAACATCATTTGGTTGCCTCCCACATGTGCCCTTAACCAGAATCGAACCTGCAACCCTCAGTCTGAGGGCTGACACTCTGTACACTGAGCCAAACTGGCTAGGGCATCACTACCATCTTTTAAACTGGAATGAGCATATTACATAATGAGGTATTCAGTATTGCCCATCTAAAATCTATTGTTGACTCCTAGAGAGAGGGAAGCATTTTTTACTTTCAGATTAAGACAGATTACCATAATTGGAAGAATATTTGATTATGGGCCCTTCTTCAGTGTAATACACATTAATATTAACCATATTGAAGTGAGCAGACCTTAGAACCCCCCAAGGCCTTGGTAGATATTAAGTTCAGCTAACAGTTTTTGGAGAACAGTGTTTTAATGTTCCTTTATTTGATGCTTCTTGTTTTGGCTTCTGAGTGCTAGCGCAGCCCTGCCGTATCTCACACACTATCTCTGGGACAGTCTGGTTAGGGCAGCACTTGGCCTGGCCTGCCAATAAGGTGGAGGTTTCTTCCCCTGGAGCCCAGAGACAGCTTATTAGCATGTGATTTCAGCTCGTGTTTCAGTGCAGTCAAAAGTTTCCAGCAGCACAGTATGTTCAATCAAAATGGGCAGAACTGCAGCTGGCAGAACACCAAGCTCATGGGTGGGAGTGTTGGGAGAAGAGGACAAATTGTCCAATGGTAGTGAGTCTCTCACAGGCAGAATAGCAAAGGACACTCCTGGGGAAAGAAAAACCTCAGCGTAAAATCAAGCTTCAGTGCCAACCTGGTCATTAATCTAAACTCGTAGAATCTGATTAGCTTCCAAAGACTGAGCAAATGTGAAGTGTCTTGTATTTTTTCTTTATTCCACAGAAGAAATCAACTTGATTTCCACCAGTTTTAGTCCGTCCCCCTCACTCCCCCGTGTATCTTAGCTATTACTCCATCTTATCTATAAAATATTATTTTAACCTTGACTTAAGGGTCAAGGTTAAGTAGCTGTTTTTTAAAAATATTCGTTGTATGAATGTATAAGTTAATTTGTTCCTTGAGAAAGCCCATCATAGAACTGTTAGATGTGCTGCTGCTTTCCTCTGAGGAGACGATGAACCAGAAATTTTCTCAGTGCACTTTGTGGCATTTTCCAGCAGGCAGGGGTGGATTGTTAGTTTCTTGTGTTTTCTCTTCACAACTTTTATAACATGTTGCTTATACAGGTTTGGGTGTGTGTGTGGTTTTTTTCTGTCAAGCTTAGGGTGCCTCAGTTCTGGCCCCACCCTTCTGGGTCAACGTATGCATTTTTTCCTGGCTCTTGTTCACTTACAAGTTAAAGCAGGTTATCAGGTATCTCTCACACCTTTTCCTCACCCTGGAGTCCTGGAAGCAGTGAATCTGGATTTTGGAAGTGGCTGAGAATTGGCCTCTCAGGGGGCCATTAACTCTTTGAATATATGGTCTTTTCTGTTTTCTCCACACCTGGGTTTTTCCCCCCATTCTCTGCTTTCATTAGGTTTTGTCAGAGGAAAAAAATCTCCCATCTATATTTTTAAAAGTTTTATGCAAAAAGATGTAGTGCAAAGTCTGCCTCCTACTCCTGCCTCCAACCACACATTCTCTCCTCAGAGACAGCCACTGTTATCTGTTTCACTCTCTGTACCTTCCTCTCTTCATTAACAACATATCACAAAGGTTATTTTTGTGTGTTTTTTATTCCCCAATTTGGAGGGCCAGTTACTTTGTTTCTTCATTTAGTCATTCAACAGATATTTATTGAAGATCTATGTACCAGGCACACTAATAAATACTTATGCATGTGGAGCACTTTGTAAGCCCTGGGAGATACACAGTCCTCACTCTACCAGAATAAGTGCCCCTTAGTAAAACTAACATAGAATTTCCAATAATGCATTAGTAATTACTGGTACTATATTATTGCATGTGTTTCCCATGAATGAATTCTTAGAGGATTTGCATGCTCTCATAGTTATTCCACTATAACACAACCTCCTGAGAGCCAGGTTCAAGTAGGCAGGTAACTGATGAGTGGACAATGAATAAGAGAGGATGGAATGTGGCTCTAAAGAATTAGGAAATAAAGACTCATTTGCACTAGGATTTCAGAGACATGCTAGCATCTGACTCAGAAAAGAACCCTTCCTCCTCTGAAATCACATATGACTAATCACCACACACTGTTTTACTTGGTAGTTTCAGTTAAGCTTTTGAAATATTTATATGAGTGTTTAATTAATTGTTTTCAAGGTTAGGAATTTCAGAATGACTGGCTTTTATTATTGACTCCTAATATAAATTAGTTTTTCTTAAAGCATTATTACACTGTAATAGTGCCTGTTGGAAACTTTGAATGGTATCTCTAAAGAGCTTTCTTAACTTTCCCTTACCCTTTCTGTGTCACAGCCCAGATGCTGCTGATAGCACATCTTTTGATGTCCAGTTAGGAGATATTATCCTGACAGCGACAGATGGACTCTTTGACAACATGCCTGATTATATGATCCTGCAGGAGCTAAAAAAGTTAAAGGTAATTAACTGAAAGGTTGGCCCTTGAAAACAGTGGCCCTCTCTGGGCAGTTAAATTTTCTCCATTCAATTGCATTATCTCTTTTTATAGTTTTGAAAAGGACTATTTTGTGAATATAGGAAATTAATAATAGTACCAGTTTTTCAATCAGTTGTAAATGGAAATATTCACAAATGGAGAATTTAAAGGAAAAAGGCTTTTCACCAAGCTTTTAGTAGGGTGGTAAAGGTAGAAAAAGTCCAGATAAGAAATTTCTTGTT